GTGACTAGAATTGCTATTCCCATCTAGGACTAATCGCAAAAAGATGAGTAGCGAAGAATCCGGATTAATGGCGTATTAGTTCTTTGCATCAATCGATTCATGTAATAGGTTCCGACCAAGTGGAAATAAAACTTTTGGGTTGTAAAACGTGAAAAATACATGGCATAACCACTAAATCTATTATTGATTGATTTGGCTCCCTAACCAGGCCCACAACTCTCATCACCTGACCCTGAGCACACCAAAGAACGTAAAAAAGCCTGTTAAAAATATGTCCATATCAAATAACCTTGTACAGGAAGCACTGTGGATAGTCAAGAAAAATACCAGTGAAAGAAGGCTAATCAAAGAGCTCCTAAATATTTCATACACTTATTAGCTAGAAGGAACAAAGTCAGTGAATCATTTAAAATGTAAACTTTACCACTCGGGTGCATCAAACTACTTTCCATTTCAATACGCGCAACCAGAAGCATATTCATGAAAAACAGTACGTATGTACGTACCTAACTGACTACTCAAAACCAAAATCATCAATCAGGAATGTTCTGGAATAAAACAGAAATCTAGTTCGAAAGAGACAGCGAAAGAAAAATGAAAAACTCTTGCCTCTGATGCATTGATGAGATTAAAATATAGACAGTGACAAATTTTGTCGGGGAAGGGTGAATGGGTGTAGTATAGCATCTATGAAGGGCGTGATTTAGGCACCATTAGGAGTATGACTTTTTTATACCTATGTAATGATTAAACCTGAGGGACAGGGGCCCGATAAGGTGGAAACGGGTAATTTACTTCAGGTTTCAGTGCGAAAATCATCCAGAGATAAGCTGAGTTCAATGGAAGGGATTAAGACTTACATGGAAATATTGTGAACCAGCGGCCAAAACAACTTTGTGACAAGGCAGTTCCTCTTCGCCAACACATAAAATGACATCCGTAAATTGCGCTTTCTGTCTAAACAACTGCAACGACTGAAACGTATGACACATCTGCTCGTTGGCTGCTATTACGCCAGATTTGCTATCCTTGTTCCATTCCTGACGTTCGGCAGAGTTCACGTTTAGAAATGAAGTATTTGTCATCGACTGGTCCAATATGGAAGATTTATAAACAAGCTGAAGTGAGAAAAGGAGTGTGCAGGTTATATTTAAATCGGACAAGAGGAGAACGATTGAGAGAAAACAGGGAAGAGGTTCTGCATTTAAAATGCAATAATCCGGGTAAAATACACGATGTTAACGAAAGCCCTTGACTACTCCTAACCTTGAATCCAGTTGCATTTGCTGAATAAATCGATAAAAATTGGACACAAGATGATAGGAGAAACAGTGTGACAAATTACGCACAGAAGAACGTCGGCTCCAAGACGCCAGATAATTTGGTGATTACTTAAGTTTGATTGCTGAAGGCTAACCCAGGAACCTGGAAAGCTTCGGATAGAGAGGAGACTGTAAAAATAACCAATACTGAAGGGTGCCTTAGGGCATGCCTGTTGAGGTACTGCAGTTCCAAAAGCGACACTTACCATTTAATAAAATGTTCGTACGAGACAACTGGTGGATAAAAATGAATTCGATTCACTCCGCTACGTTGTTTCGTGCAGATATTGAACCCGTACAACCGAAAAGTTAAGTCATTAGCATTTTTTTCTGGCTTTCTTATGATATTATTTGCTAATAATTCACCACCGAAATCCTGATAAATGGTTCCACACAACGTCACCGTATCGAAATACACACTACTGACATCCCGGCATCATTTACTCACTCATATTTTTTAGATAAATATCACTGAGAACAAATCTCGCAGTGCCATAGTAACAACCCACAATCTGTTGCCCTAAGCAGCGAACAATATAGCATCTAACAAGAATATTAGGGTTTATGAGTGAGAAACTAGCCGAACTGTCTAAAGTAAACACCTATTTATCTATGGCAATAAAAGTGGATCATAAAAAGTCGACGGTGGTGTGGATTATTATCCCAAACAAGACGTATTGATGTTCCACTGACGCAATACAAAATGACACAATCTGTAAGTAAATAACCAAACGCCTTCGTAGTTTTATACTACCTAGGTGACAATGATGGTCAATAGTATCTCAATACCGTTGCCGTAATTTACAAACGGTAGGCATGGAGTTGCACGGTGACTGATGATAATCAGAAGAGTTGTCGCCTGGACTACTACTCCCATTGGAACTCTATGCGAATTACCAATTTCAGTTGTAAACCTCAGGTTACTGGTTGTCACAGGGGAAAAATTTGTCATAGTGGCTATAGGGTTTAAGCAAATTGCTGCTTATAGCTTCAACACAATTACACCCCACGCATATATTTTGGTATCACGCAAAGTGCAGTATAGTATGAAGAGGAAACCTCATGAGTGAAAGAAAAAACTCAAGACCCTGAATACAAAACCATCCATGATTCATCATCGTACAGCGAAATACAGTAAGGCAAACCTCACTGATTGCTGACAAACTCACCATGGATGTGAGAATATGTACGAAGGACAGGGGGGTGGTAAGTGCACTTACGAAATCAACACAAAAAGTAACCAATCTAAATGTGCATACAACCTTTTTCCGGAATTCTGGCCTGAAAATAAATTACAAGAACAACACTGCTGCCGGTTCGGTGCCATATCCTGCAGTGTCTCCAATCAACCAACTACAGGGTAATCTGGGCCCCATCCTGCAAGGTGAGCCACTTACTCTACCTAATAGCTCTGTGCATTTCGTCAGGCGAATAAGGCGCGGTGCGGTAGATGACAGCTGGGCATGGACAACACATGTTCTAGCCAGCGAAGCTTACTAATCTGAATTCGATGCGCTAGAAAATTTATCCTCCATAAACTCCAAAATACATGACAGTTTACCTCTAGATTACATACCCTTTCGTTTTATCCCACGTGAGCTAAACTACGCAAGCACAGACAGTTATAAATTTCTAGTAGCGATATCCATCTGGATATCGTCTACTTGCAAATAAAAGGTCTCAACCATAACTGAACTACCGATAGCACAATACACACGATTTTTAACCTCAGTGAAACGTCGCGTTTACGCCAAGTGTTTCGGTTTTGTGTAAGCAGCTCTAGCCTTCGAAATGCTTGCGGTTATCTCCCTTGTGGCTCCACCGTGATTGGTCACGCAGTCACCGAATTAGGAAAAATAATCCACTATGACTGTTTACTTTTAAAGCGGGAGCAAGCGAGATGAAGTCTTGCAGCATCGCTGCACTTTCAAGGTGTAAAGCGCATACCGAATGGCGTAACAGTATTTTAGTCTATCAAGTGCACTTTGCGCGTCCTCCTTACATTCGGACAGACAAACGATGTCATGAGCGTACTCTAGTTTTTCTCCAGCTGTCCATTCAATGCCAATATATTACAGAAAACTTAGTGCATTCATCAGAATTAAATCTACGACGAAATTAAACAGGAATAGCGAAATAGGGAGCTCTCGACGAACGCCGCTGATGGTGATGAACGATCTACTTAGTTCATTATAAACTCTAAATTGATTAGAAGTGTGAGTACAGTGAACTAAGTAAGGTAATCTATTTCTGGGACATTCTTTTGCGAAGAAGCGAACCCATTAGAGCTTCGGGGACAACTGGGTCGAAGGCTCCTTTTACGGCAAGGAAAAACACAATCGTTGGTCGATGGTGAGTGCAACGCAGCTCGAGGACCTAACGCGACGTTAAATGTGATCGACACATTCACAACCCGGCCGGAATCCAAGTTGCTGTTTACGGATGTTGGTCTTTCTTAAAGGAGGTTGCATTGTGGCGATCGGAATCAAAATTAACCCGCGGTGTTTTGTGCAGTGTTTCTTGATTGGGTTCAGGATGCTGAAGTATGCTCCTGCAACCGGATGTGTAGTATATCAATAGAATTCACGAGGTTATCCAGAGAATAGTAAAAGGAAGCCCTTGCGATCCTACTGCTTCCTCTATCTTCAGCGCTTGAATGGAAGATCAGATTTCGGCTCCTGACTCAAGATCGCATGACACCGCCTACGGAGCTTCAGTTATAGATAAGGTAATTTTGCTAGCGCCAGACCAGCTCCGCTCAGCGACCAAGCAGTGATTACGTATAGTGAATGGTCAGTAAGACGTTGAACGAGAATGCGATCGTCAAGTGAAGCAAAGGCGTTGGCATAATCAAGGAAATCATCATCATCGT